TTATTATTCTATTTTCTTTGGTGCATTATTTAATTTAATATACATTATTTATTGCATTACTACCATTAATATAAAAAAGTAGGGTTGAGTGTCATTGATAACTGACAGCAAGAGAAAAGAAGATTCGGGTAAGTTCTTGATTTTCATGTTTATATTGAAAGTAACTAAAATGTAAAAATAGGGATCTCATTAGGTTAGATTAGGTAAAATATATAATAATAATAATATAATAAAAATGTTTCACGAGGCATGCATGCAAGCAGCTCATGGGTAATACAGTTCGATAGCATAAAGTGAGCTACACATTCCCCAAGTGATTTACAACTTATAATGGCTCAGATAGCAGTTAGGCATGATTCAAAGGGCAATAAAACAATAAAATTTAATTATAAATAGATGTATACTGTTACAAGTTTAACTCTACTTAGGATAAACAAATGTAGTTTCATGTTACAATTTGAAGTCATTCTAGAAAGAAATAAAGGGTAATTTAGATTTTATTTTGGGTGGTTACTAGGTTGGTCAAATTGACCAACTTTGTATAGAATTAGGGTAGAGAAAATGACAGATAAAATTTAAAGTTTTACTGAAAACAAACATTTGAAATTTATTTAGGAAGTTTTAGAGATTGCACAAATCAAATCTGAGATTTTTGAGATGAAGAAAAGTATTTTTAATCTTATCATGATTTTTTGTATATGAAAGATTTATAATATTTACCGAAAGACTGCCAAATTTTAAGATATACATATTATATTAAAAGTTAGTAGTATCAAATCTATAAAGACTGTATGTGAGTACAAAGAGGTCATGTGGTCGGTCAAATTGATCGAGCTCATGTTGAGAGAGTTACTAAATATTCTTTTGGTATTTTAACACGTGTATTACCTACTTGGCCTTAAAACATAAATGAAAATATATGTTTATTACTACCAAATATATTTTATCCTTTGTACAGTCAAAAGAGTTGGAAATTTGTCGGAATGTCCACACTATGTTTTCTACTTCCTGACCAAGAATACAGTGAAAAGGCTTAAGAGTGATATTCAAGTCTCTTTCAGAGTGCACACATACTTTTGTGCACAATAACATTTAATTTTTCTACATAGTTTTTACTAAAAATGTGGTTTTTAAATCATTACTTAGAGACTGATGAAGTATATGAAGAGTAGTTGCATGTTGGAAGTACAGACAAATTTGTTTCAGTTAAATTCTGTAATTTTTGTTAATCATTCAACAGTGGTTCCCATCATTTTCTGCATGTTGATTATTCCAACCTGCACAACTTTAGGAATTCAGGAATGCTACTTGCCTTTTTACAGAACATATAGCTAATACCTTGCATTACTGCTGGAAGGTTTTGAATATGTATCAAGACTTTTAACGAAACCCTATCCTGTGTATAATAATGTGTACTGTACCAGTCTATGGTGTCATCAGCATTAGCTTATAGCCCTGCTATAATAGGAGGGTGATTCATCCTCAACACACAGTACTTTTCCTTGGCACTGCAGTGTTCAGTCATGTTCTTTTTATCATTAAGACTTAAGGAATTTTTTACACTTATTAAATTCATTAAAAATCGAAATTTTATCTTTCTTGTCTTTGTTTTCTAGATTTCAAGAAAGAAGGATAAAAAATGTTAATGGATTTCAATTAGGGAATCTGATATCAGTTATTAATTTTTCTTTTTCTTCTCATAATCAGACTGCTAGATTTTTGGGCACATGTTTCAGAGTCTGTGATATGGTTTCTTTTGCAGGAATATTCCCCATTTTTATTAACCCAGTGTTGAGGTTTCTACAGATAAATAATCTACAGCTGATAAGTAATCTTAATTTCATCACGGTGAAAATGAACTAGACCAAAGCACTATAGTTTTGTTACATATTAAACATAAAGGTTATGACAGGAATATACAAAACTGCATATATCTAGGATGAAAATACTTAAGAGTCCTTCAGAATATAATGTGAAATTTGTTGTTGTTTTTTGTTGGTTAACTAAGTTAGGGATTTCTGCATTGTCCATAATAGTTTACTTTGCTGTAATGTGCTTGGAGCATGTAGGTAGTTTTATGGTATATTACTAAAAAGTATGTTGCCATGAAATAATTTATCTTCAAGTTATTTAATACAATTTTTAATTTTTAGATTTATATGTTCAATCCAAAATTTTGTACTATGTGATTGGACAAATTTTTAGCTGAAAACTAGATTTAATACCCAAGAGGTTAAGTAGAAGGTTAAGGAAAATTGGTATAGCTTTGAATAAGGACATATTTTATGTAACAAACTTAAAAGTGTTGTCAATATATGTGCATGTGAAATAGGCTGCTTATGCATTATGTGTACAAAAACATAACAGTTGTATGCTCAAGATGTGCAACTTTGTTTAGGAGGAATTATTTAAAACAGATACATGTGCAATATTCTGGTCAGCAAATTCTCACTTGTATGAAGTGT